ATTACAGTTGAAACAGGTTTAAGTTTTGTTTTGTTAATCTAATATTCAGCTATAACTAATTGACTGTAAATTAGGGAGATGAAGTTGAAACAATTGACTTCTTTCTCTTTCCGAAATGGCTATAGATTCTTATATTGAAAGGCTATGAACTGTATCAATAACAATTAGAAAAAGGCCATTGTATATAGAAAGTTGCCCAGGATTTCTTAGGGGTCCGTTCGGTTCATTGGAATCAGAATTCAACAGTTTGGCTGGGCGGAATTGGATGGCATTCCCTTGTAATGGCCACCCCCCCCACCCCCCACTTCCTTGGGATTTGGGAATGAGAAGGAGAATCCCATCAGTTATCTGAACCAAACAGGAGGGAGAATGGACCATTTCAATTCGGATTTGGATTCTAACTGCAAACCAAACGAACCTTTAGTAAGTGTTAATTCTATTCAGGACAAATTTAGATGTATCATATTGCATCTCTTATTAGAGACTCAAGTTTGAAAAGAACAAATTTTGACATTATTTATAACACCTCCTTTGGGGTTTTTTGCCTTTCTAGTGTGGAATCTATTGGAATGTGGATATACAATTACAGATGAATATTATAGAGAATAGCCATAGCAGTTGTCTTATTTGGTCAAATTGAAACTGTAACCCTTACTTTGTACCAACTGTCACCAAAAACAGTCACAAAAAGGTTGTAGTACTTTTACAGCGCAAAAGGCTGTTCTGTAATAAGCCAGATTGTACTTTGATCGGAGTAAGAGAATGTTTGTGTTTAAATTAAAAATAAATGCTTATTGAATAAGTGCTTAAAAACAAGTGTTTATTCAAATATGCACTTATTTGCATTTGGCATCTAACTTTTTTAATTGTTTATTTTTTTAAATAAGCACTTATTTTATATTGGGTGTTTGGTAGTAATAAGCACTTAAATAAGCATTTATGACTATTTTGTCCTTCATTTTCTTTCAAAATTTCAAAATATATTCTTTAAAAGCACTTTTAAGAAAGTACTTTTATGAAAGCATTTTTACGAAAGCACTTTTATAAAAGTACTTTTATGAAAGCACTTTTACGAAAGCACTTTTAAGAAAGTACTTTTATGACAAAATAAGCACTTTTATGACAAAAGTACTTTTGTAAAAGTGTTTCATAAAAGTATTTTTATGAAAGTGCTTTTGTAAAAGTGCTTTGTTAGAATGCTTTCATAAAAGTACTTTCTTAAAAGTGCTTTCGTAAAAGTGTTTTCATAAAAGTACTTTTATAAAAGTGCTTTTGTAAAAATATTTTCATAAAAGTATGTTCTTAAAAGTTTTTTCACAAAAGTGCTTTTATAAAAGTGCTTATGTAAAAGTGTTTTCATAAAAGTGCTTTTATAAAAGTAGTTTTATAAAATTAAACTAGGGATAATTTTATAAGTAGTTTTTTTTAAATTCAATTAGGGATAATTTTGGAAGAAAAAAGTTGAATAAGTGCTTATTGTATCAACACTTAAAAAAAGCTGGAAATTTGGGTTTAAAAAATAAGCCCTTATTTTTAAAGTAAGCACTTATTTCGGGCTTATTTCCCAAATACCAATAAATGCTTAATGGCCCAAATAAGCACATATTTTTAAACACTCCCAAACATGGCCCAAGTCCCGGGCTGCAAACCTGCAACGTTGTAAGCTTTTAAAAACTCACCCTGTTAGGCCTGGGCCTAGAGACTAGTATATTCAAATTGACCCAAGCCCGAGGACAGCTCGAATCTTGACAGAAATTCCTGATGGTCTGGCTCATTTAGTAGAGCCTCCGGTTTATTTCCCTGAGTTTGGCTTCAGTCCAGGCACCCTTAGTGAGGGCATCGTTCACACATTCAAAGGATACGCCATGCGCCCTCCCAATCGTGTGAAGGGCTGAAGCATGTGAGGATGCTCCACCCCATTAGTGAGACTTGCTATTAGTTCAAGTTAAGCAAAATGAGCATTTTGCTCCTCTCCTCTCCTCTCCTCTCCTCTCGCAGATGAGACATCTCTGCCGTCGAGGAACTTAAACATGTTGAACCCATCATCGTATTGTGATGAAAAGCGATTTTCCGGAGATAGGCAGTAGTTGATGGAGACAACCACGGCGGGGATCTCCCATGTGAACCGGTGGTAGACGGGATAGTATAGGAATGAATCAGGGCAAAGTGTTGCAAATCCTCCACCGTGAAAGAAGAGTATGACCAACGGGATAATGTTGGACGTGGGTTCCGTTGGAGTGTAGAGGCAGAACCAAAGGTCTCGGGCGGGATCAACTGTTATATCAACGCTCGTCAGACCATTATGTGAGATTGGTCTTGCCGCCGGTGATGGTTGTAAAGTCACCGCCGGGTGGATGGCTGCCATCCAAAACGATTAGGTTTAGTTTTCATGGAAGAAGAAGAAATGCAAAGAAAACAATACCTAAGGTTGATCCTGTTGCCGGTGATGATTGTTTGTTGCCGACAGTGATAATTGTTAAGTCGCCCCCCGGGTGGATGAGGAGAGAAAGAGGAAGGAGAGATGTCTCGTCTGCGACAGGAAAGGAGAGGAAACTAACGGCAAGTCTCACTAATGGGTGAAGCATCCTCGCATGCTTCAGCCCTTCACAGGATTCGGAGGACGCGTGGTGCCTCACTAAGGGTGCTCTCACTAAGGGTGCCTGGACTGAAGCCGAACTCTAATTCCCCACTTCCCCAGCCCTTGTGCTCTCATGAGATGCGTGTTTCCTTTACCAAGAACCTGGTGGGCCCGGCCCAGAATCCGGTTTGTTGCCGGAAGGAAAAGGACACCGATTGTAGGCATGTAAAACAGTATCAGACGGATAATAAAATAATGAGTAAATATATGCTAATTGAAAGTTCAAAACAAGTGGGCTTGGGCCTGGTACAGATATGGGCTTGGACTGCTTTGGTGATGCGAAAAGAGTATCCACCATTGTAGTTTCTATTTTCTAACATTTTATTAATTTATTAATTTATTTATTGTTTGCCAAACAACTGAAAAAACGCTTTAAAATCTTCTGGAAGAGACAGAAAAGAAAGTTATAAAATTTTCAAGCAATAGCTTCAGAAATCAATGATGTTATATTGGTCTTTTCATGATACCATCATTCTCTCAGCAATCATAACAACAAACTCTAGGTTAGAAAGGTTAGATCCATTCTGACCTTGTAGCAAAGGGGTGGGCCACTGATTGAATGATCCAAGACCTACATCAATGTGATGGTCTGATCAGATCCTTTCAAGGTTCAAAATATCGATACAAGCCGATATGCTGGTAGGGGCAGGCATATCAGCCTGTATCGAGACTCGCTTGTCCCTTTTTTTTAGTTTTTTTTTTCAATCTGGTTCAGAGGGATCAGTTTAAGGCGTTTACCCCCTGAACCATGGTCTAACCTGAAACACCCCCTGTAGAGGCATATCTGAAAGCCCCAGACACAATATGTATCGAAATTTTGAAACTCGGATCCTTTTGGAATGTGGGATATGATCATAGAGCCAACCAGCTCATTTCGATATGGAAACTAGCAATCTACCAGATCAACTCATTATGGGATGGGAAAGGGGTAAGAAAAAATTGTGTAATTCTGTATGTAGTATCATGATATGCATACCACAAACACAAGAACACAACTGTTCATGACCTTGAAAATGTCTTGCCCACTTCTTTCCAGTTATTTATTCATGTGGGCCCCACTATTCCCTGGAAAATCTTTTTCCCCCGTGTGTGAACAGGTTCCTCCTCCATCTTCTGCCAAAGGGTCCTAAATGGAGAGAATGGACCACAACTAAGCGCTGGCCATTTTCCCAGACATGCTTTCTGGTTTCTACACTGTTTTTGTATTATTGGAATGATAAATAAAAGTACCTTCTATCAGGGATCAAGCTTTAATGGTTTGGGCTCTGCTGAAATTAAGGCTGTCAATGGTTGTACACATAAAATCAAATTCAAGTGAAATATGATCAGAGGGATTCTGATGGGACTCAAAGTAAACAAAATCAAGTTAAACATGTTATAATATTTGACCCTAGCTACAAACTATTAGTTGAAAATATCACTCAAACAAGATCTTATATGGATCATGTAGGGTGAATCTGGATGTGATCTGATTATAAACAGGAAAACTACGCAAAATCCATGTTTGATCCGTATTTGGATCATGATCCAATCTATGGACAGCATTGTTTCTCTTTTACTAAACTCAGAGATTCTATGCTTTGGTATTCCATAGTTACTTAGCCTTGAGAACATGTTAGAACAGCCTAACACAGGATTCAGTTGAGTTCAGTCCCTCACCCAGTCAGATTTATCATTTATTAGTCCAAAAGTAGGCAAGTTACAAGGAAAAAATTACTTTATTCCAGTCTGTCAATGTACCTCTCTGCAAAAATGATGCAACTTGAATCCCATTTGGTGATACAAATCAGGAATTGCCTATCCCAGCAATGTCCTACTATTCTCTTGGTCAAACCAGATGGAATGTGGAAACCAAGAGAAACTCTGGTATTTTTCTAGTCAAGAATTTTGCATCTCTAGTCACACCATAAACTAGGTTGGCATGCTATTTCTTTAGCACCTCTCATGATCTTATGATAAGTTGATTCATAACTCATATAAGGTAAATAAGCATTAAATAATTTCATCCCAAGTGCAACTCTATTTAGAATACTGGGTGTGCAAGCACTCCTCTAGAGTTGACCGAGTTAAGTATGTTCCCCTAAACACAGGTTGAAGTTGAACAGCCTTGAACTGATCATAATATAATCAGGTCAACCATATATAAATCACATTCATCCAATCTGAATGCAGAATATACTGAGCATTGTTCTTCAGATCACCATCAACTATGGAGCACAACCACCTATATGCTCATTGGAAGAGATTCAAACGGTGTTTCTGGTAGACCCTCTCATTGAAATATTTAAGTGATAACTTGTTTCATGGTGCAATCATGCAACTATTGCCTTGGGAATGTAACAAAATTTTTTTTGACCAATAACATGAAATTTTCATTAAATAATGCAAGAAATAATAAGTACAAAACATAGAAGTACAGAACAAAGACTGAAAGATAAAACCTCTTATCTCTCCCCATCCCAACCCAACTCCCTTACATCTGTGCCCAGAACAAAGAATCTCTCCCCACCCCCTGTTTAGCTAAAGCATCAGCTACAGAATTAGCATCTCTCTTAACCCATCCAATTCTGAGTTCCATATCTCTGGTTAGCCACTAGACTCTTTTCTTTTCATTGTTGAAGAGCCACATTTTCATCTCCTCTTCTTGTAGCCAATTGATTACCAGCTTTGAGTCTCCATCCACAAATAAATTAGTAATGCCCATCATCCTTGCCTTTGTTATGACTTAAACCACAGCCATCACCTTTGCTCTAAAAGAGTCTCCATCCCCAAGTCCCAACCAGCCCAGAGTATAAAGCAATGAATTTACCTTCCTCATCTCTAAATACACCTCCTATACCTGAACGTCCTGGGTTTCCCAAGCTGCTACCAGCAAATTTAAATTTTACAAACCCTCTATCCAGTGGAGAGCATTGATGATTAACAACTGTTATATAAGCAGCAGAGTCCACTTCTTTCTAGTTCCTCAGTAGGTCAGTTGTTGAGATACTCGAAAAACCTTCCAAACACTTCAGCCGTGGTTTTCAAGTGCTTTTGCACATATGCTGTAATTCTATATTGTAGGTGTAGTACTGTACTTTTCCCATTTGACCAGAGGAAGAATATTTTATTTTTTGTATAATATACAAGTTCACCATTCATAAATAATAAAAAAGTTGAGATGGAATACAATTTGAAAAAGAATAAAAATATTTTGTCACAACCATGGAATTTATCCAATCAAGAGGGGTTTAGTTGCCAATCAATTTCTAAGTAAGTACAATCAAAGGAACCTTTGACTCTGTCCAAAGCTGCTTTTCTGTGTTGCAACAGCAAAAGTGATCCATTATCCATATGCTTGGATGTATCATCTGCTTTCCGTTTGCGGGGCAACTTCTGAGAGATACTCTTCCATTTTGATTCAAACTCACATGCTAGAAATAGGGAAAAAATCAAATTATATCTCAAAATAAATGCTTTTAAAATGCTTATGATATAAAACGAAGGTTGCATACTTTATATCTCAAAAGTGTGCAGTTTTATCATAGGAGAAAAGATCAAATGTGAAGCAAACCAGCTTTATTCCCATTTTATGCTGACAAATATGAGTCTTTGATTATGAGCATAGTAGAAATCTTCTGAACCAAAACGGCAAGCAGCAGCAGGTGCCTTCCTCCAACCAACCAGCATAATAGATTGTCAAGGACTAATCAGTCAAATAGATTCTCTCCCCTTAATGAAAGGGAGCTATCTCCATCTCTAGGGGAAGCTAATGACTTACGCCCCTACCTCCATTCGACCACAGAATTTGTGGTAACTATTCAACAAGAAAAACATCTCTAATTCTCGACTCTATAAATTCGGACAGAGTAATACAATGTCTTGCCTCTGAATATTTTCATGGAAACCATTTTCCTGTCTATGACCTAAATAAGGATCAGAAATATTATGAAGAGATCCTTATACAAACAGGATCAACAAGAATTTGGCATTATTTCTGAGACAAAGAAATCAGAAGTAACTTATTCTAAGCTTCTTATAAACAAATTTCTCTCAAAAGAGAATAGGGGAGAATTTGATAAGCCTAAATTCATTTTAAAGCCTTTTGACAGAAGACCCAGGTTATTTAATTACTGTGATTACCAGGAAGACTAGTATAAGGTATTCTTCATTCAGTGGCAGTTAAAGAATGAATTCAGATGTTTCAAGCAGGTTTCTAAGAATATGATAATCCAAGTAAAGTGGATTAGAAGATCTGCAAACAGTGTGGCAGATGGGCTAGCTAAACGTGGAATTCAGAGGCAGTCCATGTTTTTGGGCTGTTTTGTAAATATTGTTAGTGGTTTTGGGCTTGATCTTTGCCCACAACTCCTTATTGTACTCCTTTTTATAATTAATACTAAATTTTTTCTTATGTTGCGGATAAAAAAAAAGGTATTCTTCATTCAGAATTTCATTTTCAAATACTCCTGATTCCTCCGGCTCTCCGACAACTTCAGAGGGGAAAAGGAAAATATGCCTTTGATCATATCAAACAGTTCAATTTTTTCCAAACCTATAAACTTCCCTGGATTCCCCAATGGAAATATAGGTTAGAAAGCTCGTGAGACCCTCCTGCCATCGGAAGAGAAATTGAAATAAAATGGTGGGATAAATTCGACCTCTCACTCACCCTAAAGCCTATTCCGGAAGAGGATATCTTCCAATCGATATTTGAATCTTATCAACAGCGGCTTCGAGACAAATTTCCTAACTTAGCACCAGATGAGCTAGCTGAAATGTCTCTTCAACTAGCAGAGAAAATGAAAGGCAAAGCAAAGATTCCATCAAAGACTCTGACACAGACAGCCTGATGTCTGTCTCTTTGGAGTAAAGAAAAATTGTTTTGGCCAACAAAAAAGACATCTAAAAGAAAAAGAACTATGGATAAAAAGCACCATCCCATCCATTTAAGGACATTCCCATTCCCAAAGGAGGGCATTGAAAAATTCTGTTGAGATATCTCCCTTGAAAGAGTTTCCTTCTAAAGTCATTCCTCTCTTGGTGTGTTTTTCTTTAAGTTCTCTTCTATTATTTTAATATAGTGAGAGTGTTCTTGAGAGTGTGTTCTTTAGGGGTGTCAACGGTATTTGAAAATCCAATTTCGAATTTGATATTCGATATAATCGAATCGAATTCGGATAATTCGAATATATAATCGATCGAATTCAGATATTCTATTCTTACCGAATAGTTAATCGGATTCGAATACGGATATGACCTGATTCGATTCGATAAATATTCGAATTCGATCGATTATTTAATTCTTATATACAATATATAAATTATTTATATAATTTATATATTTATATACTTTATATCAATAAAATATTTATTAATTATCTAAAATAATTAATTAATCGAATTCGAATCGAATCGAATATTCGAATATTTAATCGGACTCGAATTTGGATATTAATTTTCAATATCCGTCGGATATCGAATTTTCTAATCGGATTCGAATTTGGATATTGCCTGATCTGATTTGAATTCGATCCGTTTACACCCCTAGTATTCTTTCAATTGTTCTAAGTTTGTATAATTGTTCAAGTATTTGCTTAAGCTTGAGTGATCTCTACGTGTGTGACTGTTAGTAATAGTATTGCATTAAACTCACTGTAAGTCTATCATGGTAAGATCGATATTGTGGAAGACTTGCAAAAGAAGAAACCTTCTTTGTGTTTGTCCCCAAATTGGTGCTTTATGTGTAAAGTGAAGGGTGAGGACTGTAACCATTTGCTGATATTGTGTTCCTTTGCTGCCAATATTTGGAATTGGGTTGTTTCTTTATTTGGGTGCAGGTGGAACTTGCCCTCTGAAGTAAAGCTGCTGTTCACTCCAGATGCTCTTGGGAGATTGACAAAAAGTGGGAAGATAATGTGGAAATGTATCAGAGCCACCACCTTGTGGATTTTATGGGAGGAGAGAAATGCTAGAATATTTCAAGAAATGGAAATAAGTTTTTCTGAAGTCAAGGAATGTATATTGACAAAGACAATTTCATGGCTGAAATCTTCACAATTGTTGGCAGATTTCTCCTTTGATGACTTAAAGAGAAAGTGGGAAGCAGTGGCTTCTACAGTCTCCACTAAAAACAAATTACAAGTTGAATGGAAACCCCCACCGGATGGAGTGGTAAAATTGAACTTTGATGGCAGCTGCCAAGGTAACCCAGGGCCATCCGGAATTGGAGGGATTTTGAGAGATAAAGACAGCAATATGTTGTCTCTCTTCTCAGGACCAGCGGGTGAAGGCGATTCTGTAAGGGCAGAGCTACTCGCACCAGTACAAGGCATACAAAGGGCTAGTCAATTAGGAGTGAACAATTTGTTAGTAGAAGGAGATTCCAAGGTAGTAGTGGGCTGGCTGAATAGCCCAGACACAATTTGTTGGGGCTACAGGGATCTGTTAAAGAAAGTTAAATGGATGACAAGAAATATGACTGTTAGGTTCCAGTGGGTTAGCAGATCAGAAAATGTAATGGCCGATTCTCTAGCCAAGCAAGGGGTGTCAAGGGGTGATCTGTTTTGGGCTACTTTGTAATTTGTATCTCAGGTTTGGGCATGTTTTAGTTTTTATGATTCAGTCCTTGGGGGAGGTAACATCTCGTGCCTCTTCCTAGGCTGCTTGTATTTCTGATTTTATTTCAATAAAATTACTCTCATTTATCAAAAAAAAAAAACTCACTGTAAGTCTCTCTTTACTGTAGTAATATTGCGACTTTGTTCGTAATTATTGTTCACTATTGTTACTATTTTAGTACTGTTCACTTTTACTATTTATCAGTCCAATTACTGTTCAAATTAGTTTGATACTAGACTTCTAATTCATAGTCAAGTATAGTGAATTTGGTAATAAGCTAGTTTGACCATCAGGGTGATAGATTAAATTCCAATCTATATGGCTAATTTGAAAACAGAAAGAAAACGGTATACAATGGTGATGCAAATATAGACCTGTGAAGACATTTTTGTTGCTCATTAGGAAATGCAATGAGACTTTCTTTGGGATGGAGGGGAGAAAAAGGATCATTTAGTAAATTGGAAGGTGGTGTGTAAACCAAAAAAGGAAGGTGATTTGGGATTAGGCCATCTGCTTGAAAGAAATATTGCTTTGCTTGGCAAATGGTTATTGTGATTCCCTTTGGAGAAAAACTGTTTGCTGGCCTCCATTGTATGCAGTAAATATGAAAGGAATGATAATGGTTGGAGCAGCAACTCACTCCTAAACAGATTATTCTCTCGGAACCCTGCCCAAACTTTCTCAGTCTATTTGTAAGATCTTGCGTTGGGAAAGAAGATACTTTTTTTTTTTATCAATAACAAATTCATTAATTAATCATAAGAATAATTACAAAGAGGAAGAAAAACTTTCTTATCTTCCAATTACAGATTGAGCTCCCAAGAAAGGGAAAGAAGAAAGAGAAAAAATTAAAAATTACACCTGAGCCCAAAACATTGACTCCCTCTCCACCCCTTGTTTAGCTAACCCATCAGCAAAAGAATTAGCTGATCTTTTAACCCAGCTAATCTTAACTTCCATCTCTCGAACCAGCCACCCGAATTTCCTCCTCACATTGCTGTAATTCCATAAGCCACTGTTTTCTTTTATTCAACCACCCTACTACCACCTCCGAGTCCCCTTCAATTATGAGTTTTCTAATATTCATCTCCCTAGCTTTCTGGATTCCTTCCATAACTGCATAGATCTCGGTTCTGAGGGAGTCACCCACTCCAATTGGGCCTGACAACAAGGCAGAAACAACCCCATTCTCATCCCTGAAAACACCCCTAATCCTGATGATTAATCATACTTTTTCAGGACTTGAAAATTTTAAATGAACCAAAGTGGGTTGGTTCTCCTGATGATTAATCATACTTCAATTCCTAACACATCAGACCAATGCGAATGATCCAAGATCCAATATTATGCAGGCTATAGCTAATGCTGAAAATCATAATATTCTTAACATTAACTGACAGAGCATGTAAATCTCCAGTCTTGTTATTCAAGAGTGATTGATGAAAATGTGATTTGCCAGGGCTCTAGTATCATACATGCTAGAAAGACAAGTCTGGGCTTATGAAAGTTCCAATGGAACACTTAATTTTGGTTGAGTAGAACATTCAAGACCAACTCTCTGGCAGACAGCTTAGCAAGAAAGAGGTGAGACCATGAGAGAGGTTTTGTAGGCTGGAGTCTCACATACTTGACTGATATTTCCTCATGTTCATGATTTTTATTGATCAATCTTTGTTGGTTTTCAGACCATTTTATGCTCCAACTTCCATAGGATGAAGATGAAGGTCTTACTCTTCTACCTTAGATTTAATACATCATTCAATCATATTGCTGGTCAAAGAAAGAAACAGAACAGATACATGAAGGAAAACTGCAAGCTAATGCTTCTCATGGATTTAGGTAAAACTAGTACCTTCACTTTGGTCCTTAAATCCCCGAATAATGCATGCACAAACCCAAGGCCTTCCGGCACGGGAGGCTTTGGCTCCACCTTTCAGTTCACCATTATGTTGTTTCAGCCTACAGAAGAGTTGCAGACTTTTATGGAGTATATGATAGTTGGAAGGAACAAGAATGAATCAATATCTGCAAATTAGTACTTGAACTCAAACACTTTGAGTTGGCACTTGATGTGAAACTAAAAACCATAACCCAAAGGATAGAAGTACTATTTTAGAAGAATAAGAACCAATATTTTTTGATAAGAAGAATAAGAACCAATATTTTTTGATAAGAAGAATAAGAACCAATATTAGTGGACACAAGTTATTATAGAAAGAGTTTTTTTAAGTAAAATCCAGCAAAACACAAATTATGTTAAAAGTGGTGTTTTTAATGAATAAAAAATATTTCCTAATATTGATCAAAAAAGAGAAATATAAGACAGGACTACCCAGTCCCTACTCTAGTGGCAACTTCAAGATTTTTGGGTTTTTAATTCTTGGTATTTTAATACAGATGTTATTTTTCAGTTTGAAGAGTCATATTAGGGTAGATGGAATTTAGAGTAGTTGAAGGTGTAAATTTTCCACTTCTGTTGCCCAAGTTTTAGAGGTTAAAAACCCATAAAAAATGTTAGGGTTAAAGTTTGACCATTTGACTTGATTTTGGTGTCAATTTATAGGTTTTTTCAGTTAATTATTCAATGAGAAGATCCTGTAAATCTGATGTGTTTAAGAGAGTCCCTGCCATTTTTCTAATAGGGTATGTTACTGAATGGTCTATTTGGAGTTTTGTTATTTAGTTTTGGTAGGAAATGGTTGAGGTAGTAAAATGATTTAAGGGCCCAGAATTTTATAATGGGTATGGCACTGATGGAACGGAATGGTGAAACAGGACTCATGTTGCTGACCCCATAGTTGGAACAAGGTTTAGATGATAATAACAAGTTTTGGTAGAGTTGGTAGTGGGTATTTAAAGTTGTTTTAGGAGTTAGAATCCATACTCGTGTTCCTGTGAGTCATATAGGGGATTATCTTTGTCCTAGCGCAATTAGGATCTATCTTTAAGCAGCTGCGTCCGACCATCTATATTGAGTCTGTTGAGCAGGAGACCAAGAAGAAGAAAAGGAGAAATAAAGAAGAAAAGAAGGAGAAGAGGAAGAAGAATAAGAGGCAACTGAGTTAAGGCCTCAACAAAACTTAGCTTCAGTCGAGTGAAGCTTTCTATTTATACTATTCTGGCCGTACATAACAATATGTCTACAGAATTAYGAAAATACCCCTGCGGGTACTAAGCCTGTGTACAGTACATATAATACACCTGTTAATAGAGTCTATAAACAAAGTGATAAAGTTGAAACTGTCTAAATTGCCAACTTACCTCCTTTCCTGTTGCATGAAGTTAACTGGCTATCAATTCATATAAAAGTCAAGTGATCATTCAGATGGAATTGTTGAACTGTTAAATTGTTTGAACCAGTCCAAAGTTTGCAACACCAATCGGTAATAGTAATATAGTATTATTTACCTCCTCTAGGATTTCTTTTATGTATTGCACAAGTGACATTTTCAACCCTAGATCATATTGCAGAGATTTATTGGACTTCATATCTAAGGGTAAAGTATTATTCCTAGATGTGGAGTGTGCAGTGGTTGAGCACTAGATCTAACAGCTGATCTAGGTTGAGCTCAAATATGATAAGAGATAAGCCATTCAACATTGACTCTATCCGGCCACCTAAAATATGTGGAAACCAGAAACAGAGGGAAGGGAATTTATTTGAAATGGACCAGAAGGAAATACTATTTGGTTCAGTTTGGGCAAGTGTGCAGCCAAGAAGAATGGGGGCATGTTCTCTGACTTATCCAACTAATGAGTATTGACTTAGTGAATGACTATGGAAGCTTTGTAAAGGAGCCTATTGTTCTACTGAAGACCTCAATTGTTACCAAATATGACCACGGTGCACTTGGGAGACAACTGGCAACCCTTGGAGGTGTTTAGAGTCAAATAGTTGTGGAGCATATTTTCTAAAGCATACGGTCGACTTTGACAAGCATATGTTTTAATGTTACAACTTGGGAGAGACAACCACGAAGGATTTTCAGAGATGGTGTCGGTTTCTTGTTATATATGAAGAATTTCCATAGTTCTACAATATAGTTGGGAAAAAGAATCCAACCACTAGAAGTCCTGCAACATGGTGACAAATGAAGTAGTGTGCACCCCAAGGTTTAGAAGGCCTTTGAATGATGGCAAAGCTGATTTAGTAGATCTTTTGACTTGCATTTAATGTATTACAATCAAGGTTGCCAACAAAGATAGGAGGGTTTGATATCCAACTTGAAAGGTTATTTCATGATGAAATCTTACTCCCTCATAGTGAACAATGATGCTACTTCTCCCTTTCCAAAGCATCAGATTTGGGCACCAAACATCCTGTCTAAGTCATCCTTTTATGTGGAGAGAGTATCTGGATAACATTCTAACCATCAATCACCACATCCATAAAGCAGAGGTTCATGACATATGCTCCCTTTTCTATACTCGAGGGAAATTGGTTTAGCAACTTCCTTTTTCGATATATTACCTTTTTCTTGTGAGAAGCCTTTTACCAGCAATGGATAATCCAAGGCAGCCTCTCATCCCTTATTGATTCATGGCCCAATAAGGAGTTTAACAAGAAAGTTAATATCATATGGAACTTTAGGATCTTTGATGAAAAAAGGTGCATTGAAGTAGATGTTATGGGAATATTAGAATGCCTCTTCCGGTTTTGATCCTCCATGCTGGAGGAACTTTGAGGATTGAACATCAATTTTTTTTAGTTATTAGAACAACATTGTTTTGTGTCTGTCTTGATGTATATGCCATGGTTATCTTTCTCATAAGGATCTCAGGTCCCTCCTCTTTTGTATCAATACAATCTCACTTCACCAAAAGAAAATTAAGTATCTATGCAAATGTGTGCAGAGTCCTATGTTCCTCAAGTGATATACATGTTCCTGGAACAGTTGTTGGTTCCCAGGTCAGTGAAGAATGTAGAGGATATCAAGCTTTCAGACATGTTATGATGGTAAAACTGAGCACCATGTCAAGGGGCTTAAAAGGAAGCAGGCTCAGGGGGATCATATCAATTAAACACAAAGCAGCAGCACCTCATCTAGTGACAAGGTCAACAAAGATTTTGGTGAATGTAAGTTTGCTCAATGTCATTGTAGTGACCATCCAGCCTGTGTCATCTGGATAAATTTTTTAAAACGCAGGGACGTGATGCAAGGTATTCCACTACTTGGAGGCATGAGGCATACTTCAGAACATAAGAGGCATAAGCCTCCCAAACACAAGGAGGTGAAAGCTTCCTTAGGAGGAGGGGGATGAGGAGGAGTAGGAGGAAGGAGGAGGATGGGAAGGAGGAAGAAGAGGAAGGTGGATCTCATCTTTATCGTTTTTTTAAATAAAGATCTGTATATTAAGAAGAATGAGGAAGTAAAAGTACAACCCGAGGCTGTACAATGGAGGTACAAAACAACATTCAAACCTCTGAGGCATATGCCTCATGCACAATGGAGGTACAAAACAACATTCTCTTTTTTTCTTAAATAAAGATCCTTATATTAAGAAGAATAAGGATCTCATCTTTCTCTTTATTTCTTTCTTTTTCTTTCCCTTCCCTTTTCCTTCCCTTCCCTTCCCTTCATCTTTCCTTTCCTTTCTTTTTTCTGTCCTTTTGTATGAGGGGTGCATGAGGTATATGCCTCAGAGGTACACAGTGCACCTCCAGGCGTATGCCTCCCACACCTTTTAAAACACTGATCTGGAAATTAGTACAGCATTTCTATATTGTTCAGGAAACTCCAATTTTTAGTGTGAATTTCGTGTAGACTACCTTGTCTGGCATGTCCTTGCCATGTACAGATAAGCATAGTCCACCTATCAGCTTCTCCATGGATGCCCAGATGCATCATCCTAGGTCCTACTTAGCTAGTTCATATAGCACAACTTCTAAGTAACATAGATGAGCATCTAACATCGAGTTCAATTCTTCCTGGCACTTTCCCTTTGCCATGTTGCATTTCATTGTATGAAAACAGCAAAATCCCTGCTCAGCCAGCCATACCACTGGTAATTAGACCTGTTCATGGGCTGGGCCGGGCCGGGCTTTCACTTGTCACTAATGAAAATATACTAGGCCCGAGCCCGGCCCGACCAGTGGGCCTATAACTTGGGCCCGAGCCCGAGCCCGAAGCCCGACCTAATTGAAAAGAAAAAAACAATTTTCCCTATTCAAATTAGAATTAAAAATTCAGATAGTATTTTTTTTCTATTTAAATGAACAATGGGCCTACAAGATGGTATATTTCCCTTTCTTGTATATTTTAAAACACAATTTTACATTCTTAAATCAAAAAATTTATTCAAATGAACATAATCACATAACTAATTTTAAGTTTAATATTAGGTCGGGCTGGGCCGGGCTCGGGCCGGGCTATTTTGACAAAACCCGATCCCGGCTCGAATTTATTGCGGGCCGGGCTTTTTGGCCCGAATTTAAGCCCAGGGGCCTATAAGAATGTCCAAGCCTGTCCGGGGGCCGGGCCAGCCCGTCGGGCCACCCGGCCCATGAACAGGTCTACAGGTAATTTGGCAGTCTATATAAGCCAAGCTTGACAGAAGAGTTTTGGTTTCTCAACAAGCAAACAATCTTAAAGTTTTACTCATCTTCCCTAAGTATACCCTTTTCCCCATTGGCATCCTGACAACTGGAGCCTCAGTTGAGGCAGCTAGTAGAAATTGCCTCTGCTGCTTATAACTTATTAAAATGATTAAACTGAACCAGTTAAAGACTTTAATTCAATCCTAAATGTTTTACCAACCTCGTGGTCCTTATTGAAAGAATTTGATGTTCACCTATGGAGAAGAGACCAAAAGGATATTATGATGAAAGGTAAACAAGGAAAATTGACTACCACAGCCAATCTATAGAATAATGAAACTGTAATAAAACTCTCATGGAATCCAACTTGTCAATGTTGATGCATTTGGTCAATCTTTATATGTTACATTCAAATGTTAAAAATAAAAAATAAAAGTAAAAGAAAACAAAGATCCACAAAGAATCAAAACAAAAAAAAAAAAAGGTTCTGAATTCTTTATCGAGGTACGTTTTCTCAACTCTTAACATGTATAAATTCAGAAACTATATTGGATATTGGAAAACAGGGTTCCAAAAGCAATTTGAGGAGCATAACTAGTTGATTGTTCAAAGAGATCTGGCCTTGAACCAGACATAAATCTGTATCCAAAAATTGATATTATTATTTATGGGTCCTACTACCTATCTTAGTTTTTCTCCCCAACTAGGGTTGTTGCAAAACTAGTTCAAAATTATATGGTGGGATCTGTATCCGTTCACAATTCACTCAAAAATGCATGATTCAGACCCTCAATTTGTTCAAATTTGAACCTTTTAGCTTCTGAGTTATCAATAAAATTGGGTAACTCTGTGTAGAGGAAAGAGAAGGCGGAGAATTTGCTCACCGACGAGGGAAATCGGTGGTGACACCAACGTATGTTTTGATGGGTGTGTTGGTGGAGAGAATGAGATAGACGGTCCATGATGATAATCTGAGCGCTGCCTGTGATGATCTCTTTGAAGAAGAGGACGGTGAAGATGGGGATGCTTTTGGTGGCTGCCGGTGCCGGAGGTGACTCTTCAGAGAACGGAACGTCTTCGACAGCAGCCTCGTCATCTCCGGTTCAGCTTTGTGTGGGCGGACTGGAAATCTGTAATGTGATCCGTTGGAGTTTGATCATTATTTTATTATTACAGAGTCTCGTTAGAACTTCCATGGCCCAATGGATAAGGCGCTGGTCTACGGAACCAGAGATTCTGGGTTCGATCCCCAGTGGAGTCGATCTTGAATTTTTTATATCTCCATTGATCCCACCTTTGGACGTGGCGCTACGGAATCAAACCAGAAGCTAGGTGGCGTTTGGTTTCATTGCGTTTTTTCGAGAAAAAAACATCACGTAGTGGTGCCTTTTTTGTTCCATTGGTTCCATGGTTTTAAAAAACGATCCGAAACCGGTTTTCGGGTCGACGGTTTGAATGGATGGTCCGTTCTAATAAAAAATTAAAATAATTAAAAATAAAAAGATAATAAAAAACTATTGAATGGGTCGACGGTTCAATCACCTAAGTTAATGGATCGTTAATTAATTCAATAATTTTGGTCAGAGACCAGGTTTGGGGTAAAATAGAACCGGTTGTTTGGACGGTTCCTGGACCAAATGATCCAATCATCCGGGTCAATGACGATTTGAAAACCGTGATTGATTACATTGCATTTTTCAAAAACAAGGGGTACATTTTGTTTCTGTTGCCAAGAAAACGGCACTGCATTGGTGCCACGTCAGCTACCATGCCTAAAACTTTTTAGATGATGGGCTGATTTTTGAGAAAATAGCGATGCGATTTTTTTTTTTAGAAAGCAGTTAACCAAACAATATTAATATATTTTTTGCCGTTTTTGAGAATATCTGATGTGGCTCTTTTGGTACCACATCAACCACTATACCTAAAAATGTTTTGAGAAAGAAAAAAAGAAAAAAAAAAAAAACATTAGTAACATTTTCTGAAATGGACTGATTTTTTAGAAAAAGGAGATGCGTTTTATGCCATTTTTTGAGAAGACAGCCAATCAAATAGCATATCGTTTCTCTTTTATTTCCTAAAACTGGTTTAAATTATTTTGTCCAACCGACTGACCGAGATGCCCAAAATATTGGGGATTTTGGGGTTTTCTTCTACGTTTTCTTCATCCAAAGGTTGGCGCTTTTGCATTGCACTTTCTGGGCTTAACCTATCAAAGAAGAGTGTGTAAAGAGGTAACATTTGGAAGGATGCTTAGATTATAGTTCAAGCCATACAAGTTATAAGCAAGGTTCAAATTATCGATACATACCGCGCACAGCATATCATATGATATGTATATCATGGTTTTGAAAACCGGACCAGATCGGATGGTTGGATCGGTTGACCCATAAACCGGACAGGTAGTCACTTATGTTTCACCCTAAAATTGTTCCTGGGCCAAAACTGTTGACTTAATCAGCAACCTATTGACTTAGGCAGACAAATTATTAACCCAAACAATGGTTTTTGGCCATTTTATTTTAATTAATTTTTTTAATTTTTTAAATCAGAATGGATTGTCTGTTCAAACTGGATGGTCAGACCATTTGACCTGGAAACTGGTGGTCAAAACGGTTCCATGTCCACTCTGATTTTTAAAACCTTGGTATCAATTTTTATGCTCATCCTTAAACCAACTACTGAGATTTAGGTATTCTTAATAGCTTTAAACATTAATATTCTTCAATATATGTATGTATGTATGTATGTATGTATGTATGTATGTATGTATGTATGCATGAATTATCAAAGTTTTTCTAACCCAGCCACTAATCATTATTGATAAATCTTAGCCACTGATCTAAATCATCTTTAAGTACCTCACATTGAGTAAATTGAGGAAAAAAAATCCTAAGGCTCAGTTTGGGAGGAGTATAAATACAAATATATACGGTACAAATACATACAAAATAGGAGGCTTTGCAATTTCATATTTGTATTTGTACTCCTTCCAAATTGAGCATATGGATTTGTCTTGCTCTTCATGAATCATAATAGTAACTATTTCAAAGAAATTATTGTTTCTACTCGTGCTTTTAAGTTGTAGCAATTTTTCATTAGGCTCCATTTGGGAAAAATGCAAATACAAATAGCCAATGTGTATGAACCATACAAATTTGTATTAGTATTTGCACTCTTCCCAAATGGATGCTTAATAATAATAATAATAATTGGTGTTAGCGTCTGAGTGTGTTTTAAGGGGGAGCTTTTGTTTGGTGTAATAGTAATGAAAAATGAAAAAATGAACCATAAGAATGCAGGTTTGTTTTGAGAGTGGCCATTTTGTGTAAAAAAATGAAAAAAATAAAAAAGAGCCAAAGACTAAGGTAGTATTTGATAAATATGAAATTTCAGATCTAAAAAATTAAAAAGAATAGTTTTTTGTGTCTAAAATCTGAAAAGAAGCATATGTGCTTTTTACTTTTTAGAGGCTTTGAATCCATAAATTTGTTTGTGTTAGATCAACCTTTTACCATTTGAAATTTACTGATTTTACTATTTTATTCCAAGAACATAGTATTTGGAAATGTTGAGTTCAATTTGCATTATCTCATAAAAATAATTTTCAACCTCAAAATAATATTAAAACAATACAAATAAAAAATTAAAAAATTAATAATTAATAAATGAAATGATTAAAATTTAAAAAATTAATGTCTATAAAAATATTAAAATAATTAATAATAATAAGATAACCATTAGTAGTAGTTATCTTGTACAAATACAAGTCCTACGCGACTCTAACACTCATGTATATATTCAACTGTAAATCAGTGGGAATTATCTTTGACTCGTCCCACTAAAGTTATCTTGATATTAAAGCTCAAAAGAAAATGGCTTTTCCATCTCTTCGACTTCTTCTTCCTCCTCTTCCCCAACCCAAACACCCTTTGTAAATCTCTCCAATCTATATGTTAAGCTCGACAAACATAACTTCTTACTTTGGCAAGCACGATACCAAGTACCAACCCCTATTGGGTGTGATTGTTATCCAAACCTACGACCCCACAACAAAGATAAATTTGACTTTTGCACTAGCATATAACCCGACTCATAAATGTTATAGATGTCTTCACATGCCCACTGGATGGGTCTTCGTGTCTCATGACGTTGTCTTCAATGAGAGTTCCTTCTCTTAATCTCGACAGGTGCTGCCTCCATCTTCTTATAGCACGTCACCATCTCTCTTGGGCCTCCCCTACATCTTGTTCAGCCCACATTTGATACATTAGACCATCATATTGCTTCTGGCTCTTCTACTGAACATACTAACAGGTGTGCTTTTGAATTTGCACTCCCTAATGGGCCCACTACTAGCCCACCTGAATGTGTGCCTATACCTACTATTGGGCCCGCTACTTCTGCACCTTCAGATATTGCTACACCACCATCAATTTCTGATGGGTCCTCAACTATAAATGATGAGCCTACCACTACTAATGCACCTGTCCACCATATGCAAACCAAGAGTAAGTCGGGTATTGTTAGCCCCAATCCTCTCGGTATGCATTATTTAAAACTCCACTCCCTAAAGAGGAACCCAAGTCCTATACTATTGTTTAAACCCTCAATTCACCTTTAACACCAACCAAACCATTCCGATCTTACCGAAACTCAGAGAATCCAAAAAACCCAAATTTTAACCCCCAAATCCTTAAAGTCCATCATTGAACCCACCTAATACCCTTAAATCCCAAAAATACACCTTCTCTCCAAATTACCAAAATACCCTTGACTAAATTTCCAAAATACCTTTTTTTAAATTCCTAAAATACCCTTGATCAAATTAACAGAATAACCCCCTTTCTAAAATTACTAAAATACCCTTAACCAAGCTACCAAAATATTCCTTTTTTCCAAATCCCCAAAATAACCCATTGACCAAATTACCAAAATACCCTTATTTGCCAAAATTACCCAATTACCCTTCTTAACCTACCCTTTCAAACCCCAAATCACCAAATCGCCTCACAATTACCCAATGTCCTTTTTATCCCAAATTACCAATTTACCCCCAAGCCTTAAATTCCAAAATTACCCCTTCTGAACTAGAGAGGGAAGAGGTTCATAGGTCAAAGGTTTAATCAAGATCAAATCGAAGGTCAAACTGTGATGATGTGGCATATACATACATATATACATACATACACACACACACACACACACACACATATATATATATATATATATATATATACATAGGGTTCAAGTCTCTTTAAATACATGTGTAAAAAAATAATATATACAATAAAGAGTTGTTAATATATATATATATATATATACACACATAGGGTTCAAGTCTCTTTAAATACATGTGTAAAAAAATAATATATACAATAAAGAGTTATTAATTAATGCAAGTTAAGAGGTGGAGTAATGGTAATTATGCAATATATGAAAATAAGAGGTTGTAGGTTTGAATCTTTATGAACACATTTTAAACTTTTTATTAGTTAAGGACCTAGGTGGTTTCATGAAATTGGGACCGATTCACCAGTTTTCCAATTAAACCGTCCATTCAGCTGGTTTTTTAACCAATGCAGTTAATGGGTATGACTTAACTGGCCAAAGTCCCGAGTCACGATTCAACCATTCCAACCAGCCGGCCCAGCCCGATTTTCTAAACACTGGTTATTATTGTTATCGGATCCAGTCCAATTGAGGTTTTGGTTGTGATTGCTTATCTTTCTGCTCACTTCTCTCTCCGTGACCTTGGTATTCTTCACTACTCCCTTGGTATTAAATGTCGTCATACTTCTCGTAGCCTACATTTTTCCCAACAAAAAACTATTGTCTTGAACTTCTCAAATGAACCAACATATTGGATGTTAAGCCTTGCTCCACTCCCATGGCCACGTCCACCAACAAAAAACTATGGTCTTGAACTTCTTCTCAAATGAACCACTGATTTATTTCATGATCCTTCTTTATATCACCAAGTAGTGGGCACTCTCTCAATACCTCACTGTTACCAAGCCAGATCGCTCCTTTGTCTCAATTGCGCTTTAAAAATATTTTACGCTATGTTAAACACATTGAATCAAATGATCCTCCTCTCATCAGCTTCATGGTTTTAGTGATTCTGATTAGGTTGAAAATCATGATGATAGGCGATCACATGGGGGCTTATGTGTACTTTGGCGCGAATCTTATTTTCTGGTCCTCAAAGAAAAACTCTACCTTGTCTCGTTCTAGCACGAAGCAGAATACCTCTC